AAAAAAAAAAAAACAAAACAAAAAAACAAAAAACAAAAAAAACCACAGGATGCTCAACTACCTTTGAATTTAACATGAACATTTCTTACCATTTCTTAGCAAGGTATACAATGTTTGGGACATGCTTATACTAAAGGATCATTCTTTATCTTATATTCAGATTTAACTGGGCATCCCCCCCCCCATTTTTGGTAAATCTGGTAACCCTACACTCCAGCTTTAGCTGGTCCTCTCAAAAACATGCCTCACCGAACCAGGAATGAGGTGTGGGTGGGTCGTGGGTTTCCGACTCCCCAGCACCCAACTTACAGAGCTCAGGGTGAAAGTCAGAGGAGAAGGACAGAGGTAGAATAAAGCCTCATAATCATTTGTGACATGGGGTAAGCAAACTAAGGCCTCCTGAAGCTGTCTACGTCCCAGTCCCTGGAACCTGTGAATCTGTTACCTTACTTGGCAGAAAGGGCTTTGGGAGTGTGATTAAATTAAGGATCTTGAAATAGGAGGTTATCCTGGGTTATCTGAGTGGGCCCACTGTAGCCACACGGGTCTTATTACCGAAAGAGGGAGGAGATCAGGGTCAGAAAAAGAGATGTGACAGTGGAAGCAGAGGTCTGCGGTACAGCAGGGGAAAGACCCAAGTGGCCAGTGCTGGCTCGAAGGTGGAGGGGCACCTGAACCAAGAAATGCAGGAAGAGGCAAGGAAATCCGACCTCCAGAACTACCAGATGACAAGCTCGTGTTGTTTTAGGCCACCGAGTTTGCGGGAATTTGTTACAGCAGCAGCAAGAAAATGATACCTGGCAAGAAGAAACTGTCATGTCATTTTTGCCAGAGACAAAAATAACCACTTCAAAGACTCCTTTAGCAAAGACAGCGCATGGGTCTAAACATTATACCACGTGCATTTGCTTACACTGTTTCATGTTCCCCTGTCAGCTCTGCAACAACACATCTGTAGAAGTGGAAGATCTGGGATTCAGAGAGGTTGTGTAACTTGCTTAAGGCCACCCAGCGAGCGGCGCTGCTGCTAAGTCACACGCAGTCTGGGCCAGGTTGGGTACCGACTGCGAATTTCCAGGCATCTCAACCACAAGCTTGAGCTGCGTTTGAATTATACCTGCTGTGGCCTGGGTTTTTTTGCTTGGGAAAGAATTGATTAAATTTTTCCTCCCATTATTGAAAGCATTATGATTCTTGTTCTGTTTCTGCTTGGGTTTTGCTCTCGCAGATGCCTCAAGACAAAAGAAAAAGAATCCCACGTATCTGTGCGGCACTTTCCAGCCTGTGGAGTCTCTCGACAGCCATCATTTTGTTGGGGCTTCACCACTGGTTAGGTAAAACGGGCAGATTTCTTCCCCTTGTTTGACAGAGAACAAAACTGAACTCTCAATAAAGGACAAAGAGCTGCCTGCTCAGGGGTGCACGGCTTGAAATGGGTTTTTCTGACACCTGTCCACTTATACAGAATCTGGGAGAAAGGGCTAAAGAGGGGGCAGATGGGGAAAGTGGGAGTAAGAGAGGGACCGGGATTTCTGGATTGGCACAGCCAGGAGTCCTCGGGGAGGAGGGAGGGAGAGGAAAGCAGCTTCCTACTGGATGTGAATAGTGCCACGCATCAAGGGATCTCAGGTGTGGATTAGATAACACCACTCAATGGCTGCTGGTGTGCCACCAGGTGCCCAATCACAATGTGCTGGGGAGTATCCATGCTTCCCTTTGAGAATGTGGTCTGAGGGGCTTCCAGGAGGTCCCCGAGAGCAGAGAAGGAAGACCTGCCCACACGAAGGAGTCCTGAGAAGCCCATTCTGCCGGGGCCAGGAATGCTGGTCTTCCCATGGCATTCTGGGTCTGCTTTCATGAAGACTGCAACTCAGCCATGGAGGTTTGTTCCCTGAGCACCACCCCCTCACTGTCCTCCCCACCCTGACACACTTGAGGGTAGACTTGTAGGCTGGGGGTGGTGCCTCGGCTGCTGAAGACCGAGGCTGCCTCTCTGGCCCACAGCGGGGAATGTAAAACAGTGCTGCAGAAAGAGTTGGGGCTTAGGGGTCAGACTGCGCTTGGATTCTTGATCAACCACTTAACTGAGTGACCCAAGCAACCCTTCTCGACTCTAACCAAACGTGATCCAAACCCAACTCAAAGGGTTATTCAATGACATCCTGTAAACCAAGTACCTTGCACAGTTCCTGACACACAGTAGGTGCTCAGTTCATGAGACTGACTGCACAAATATTTATTCTTATCAATGCTCATTCCCTAAGGTTCACTAAGTTGACCTTGTAAACTTACTAACTCTAATTTCGACGCCAAGGCTGCTCCTGCTCCTGAGTCCGTGGTGGACTTTGTTAGAGGCAGCTCCGCTATGGGTCACTGCCTTCTCCCGGCAGGGAGCCTTGTTTGACGCTAAGGTTCCATATGGGTTTTATGATTCTTAGGCCAGGGGGGCAATACCTCTTCCTGTGACTAAAAATGGAAACAAACTGCTAATTCATACCCTTGAAAAAATTGGCTGCAAAGCCCGCTTTATTGATAGAGCCATCGGACACAAACTTCATCCACATTCTGTTGGAGCTCGATTTCACATCTTCCGGCTTCTCGTAGCCACAGAAATGGCCAATCAGGGCACTCTCTTCCGTGGGGCCGTCGCGGATTTCCAGGTAGTCGTATGCACAGCTGTCATGCCTTTCAATCTAAACAGAGAAACAGAGGCAATGTGAAAGGTGACGGATGGTCTGGCTTTAAGGTTTTTTGTGTAACAAGGGAACCGAAATAGCACCTCAAAAATCTAGCCTAGGGTGGACCAAATTGTGCAGACTAAGAGATGATAAGTAGGGAAGAGCGATTCTACAAAACATCCTGGGATCCCCTCCCAGACTTTTACTTCCCCCCATCTACCCAGGCAGCCATCAGAAAGGAGGTGGAGACAATTTCAAAGCCTGCAAAGATTTTGATATCAAATGCCCAGGTACAATGCACCATGAGCTTGAAACGGACTTAGGTACCTGTTTTCAACCAAAAAAATGGAAACCCGTCTTTATAGAGCACAGAGTGTCTGGCAGAAGTTTATGTTTACTTCCTCCTGGGGAAGAAACCCTGAGCAGTACTCACCTCAAAAGCTTGGAAGGTAAGCCCCACGTGAAACCCTTCCGAAACCGTAATCCTCCAGACACATTCCTTGGAAGGTCTGTAGTCATCCGGGTAGTTGGGAGATTGAATCTGACCAGCATCTTTGTTAATATCTCCCCCACACGTAGCTTTAGAAAGAGAATCGGGAAGAGAAGGAATGGGGTCCTTGGTCAGACCTTTAGGAAGGAAATTCATGGCCACTTATCACCACTAGGTGGCTCCACTTGGCAACATTTTCATTTCCAGCCAACCAAGACTGTGCCTCCGGAAAGGCACAATTTCATTCGTTTGCAACTCTGAATTTTTTTCATATAAAGAAAATAACCTTCTTCATATAAAGAAAAAGAGGTTCTCCACCTTTTCTGTGCATCAAAATCACCCGGGACATTTTTTGAGCTGTGGAAGCAGGGGCCATGTCCCCAGAAATTCTGATGCAAGTGTGTCTGGGGGCGGGGGGG